GGGCATTTGCGTATGGACTGTAAATAAAATACGAGTAAAATGGTAAAATGAAGTTTAATAGTTATTTCTCAATCCCTGAAAATTTGATGGCAATCGGATGAAAACTCGAATTTTGCGAATCAATTTTGTGTGTGGCAATTTCATCGTGGACACCCTTTAATTACTTCAGAAAAGTTCGGTATCACTTCGGAAAATATTGAATCAGGTCAGCATCACTTCAAAAGGGACTGAATCATTTCATAAAATATTGGAATCACTTCGGAAAGTCCTGAATCATTTCAGAGAGCACTGAATGACTTATGCAAAGCTCTAAATCACTTTAGAAAGAATGTATTGTTTCACTTTATAACTGTTCGGAATCACTTCTGAACGTACATAATCGATTCAGAACATTTTGGAATCACTTCAGAAAACACTGAATCACTTTAGAAATGTTCACAAATCTTCACAAAGTAACTTCAGAAAAGATCGTAAAACACTTCAGAAAATTTCGAAATCACTTTGGCAAGTACTGAATCTTTGCGAAAAATTCACTTCGGAAATAATTGAATCACTTAGGAATGCACTGAATAACTTCAGAAATGTTCGGAATCACCTCGAACATACTGAATATCTTAAGGAATGTTCATGATCATTTCGGAAAGAACTGAATTACTTCAAAAAATTAGGAATCACTTCAAAAAGCATTAAGTTACTTCAGAAAAGTTTTGAATCACTCCAGAAAGTACTGAATCATTCCAGAATATTTGTAATCACTTTGACGCACTTTGGAAAGAGCTGAATCACTCTAGAAAAGGTTGAAATCCCTTCAGACAGTACTGAATCACTTCAGAAAAGCTCGGAATCTTTTCGGACAAGATTGAATCATTTCTGAAAATTTCGGATTCACATTGGAAAGTAATGAATCATCCCAGAAAGTTTGTTATCATTTTCGCCAGAACGGAATCATTTCGAAAATAATTGAATCACTTCAGAAATGTTCGGAATCACTTCGTAAGTACTGAATCTCTTCAGAAAGTTCATTATCACTTCCGAAAGTACTGAATCACTTCGGAAAGAACTAAATCACTTTTGAAAAGTTTGAAATCACTTCTGACAGTATTTAATGACTTCAGAAAAGCGTGGAAATTCTTCAAATAGTATTGAACGACTTAAGAAAATTTGAAATCGCTTCCGTAAGAACTGAATAATTTCGAAAATAACTGAATCACTTCACAAAACTTCGGAAAGTGCTGTATCAAATCTCTTAAGTTTGCAATCATTTCCTCAAGAACTGAATCACTCTGTAATGGTTGAATCACTTCAGAAAAGTTTGAAATCACTTCAGAAAAAAAAACGGAAACACTTTGGGGTGCACAGAATTATTCCAAAAAAGTTCTTAATCTCTTCTGAAAGTACTGAAACACTTTAGAAAATCTCGGAATCAATTTGAAAAGTGCTGAATTACTGCAGAAAAGCTTCAGAAAGTACTGAATCACTTCGGATAGTACAGGCATAATTTAGCATGAGAATGATTAACTGCTTGCCGTTTAAAAGAGTAGCAAACTAGACTACCTGTATTACACAGAGAAGCAACAATAGATGCGTGGGGCTAGCATGCATCTGCAATGTGTAAAAACTGGTGATCTCATACTAACAGCGCCGGCCGCGTCCAAATGTAAGCCAATTAGGGAATGGATAGGAATGTTTTGACGTTATTCTCGCTTTGTTGAAAACCGAGAAATCCTCCTCACTTCCATGAATTTTTCAATAGTTTTTCAACAGGATTCACTAAAGGTAGTATTGATATTTATTGCTAGGTCACATTAGTACTCAATTGTGACACATTGAAAAAGTTCTCGATTTTTGCACTCAACTCTCCTTAACTCGATTTCCACTAGCTCGGTATCGAGTTATAGAACCATAGTAAACATGAATTGTATGGCTACTGCGATAGGAAATTTGTGTGGGATTGTTATTATATAACTCGATTGTCCCTCCAATATCGAGTTGTAGAGAGTGCACTGTAGTTATGTTACCAAAAACAAGATCTATCTGTTTTGACATTACATTGCATTAGGAAAGTTTGGAATCACTTTGGAAAAGTTTAGAATCACTCCAAAAAGTACTAAATAACTTGAGAAAAGCTTAGAAACACTTTGGAAACACTGGACCATTTCATAAAACTTAGCACGTACATAATCACTTCGAACAGTACTGAACTTTGCAATAGTTTTAAAACACTTCGGGAAAAATTTTTTGGAAAAACTGGATCCATTTATTCAGCTCATAAAATATTTAATAACTTCAGAAAAGCTTTATTTCAGTAGAGAAAATGTTGATTCGCTCAAGGATAGACTGGTTTCAGAAACCACGTCTGCAACAAGAACCTGATTGATTTGTGTAGCTACGATTGCGTTATTGACACGCAAAAATAATCAAGGAGTTTGGGATTCCACTTTTGCTAAAAGTAGCAAAAATTGGGTTCACGCGGTTTCCTAGATAAATGTTTCCTTTACGAAAGTAAGGTTCTTGTACGAGAGCCACATGGGATGTGCCATTTAGCATTAATCTACATAGATTTATCATTGCTGTTCTGTTATGCTGCAGATTGATTTATGCTATCTTAACAGTAATCATAATTCATAACTACTCAATATATCACAAATCCACCACCTTGAGCATAAATTTAACAGCAACGTAGAAAGCAAATTGGTAATGATTTGTAAAACGCCAGAGGTATTCTGAGTTATACGTATAAAGCGAATCCATATAGATATCTTTTTATTGGTAGTTTTGGGAATTTTGTTTTGCCCGATATTGGGTGCGACTACTTAGCTCAAATTTTAGGAACACAGCACTTGAGTTTACTGCTTGGAGATATTTTCAAAAATAAACAATTTTATAGTACTTTAACTCCTGGGACCAACCACCGACTCAAGTGACTGAAGTCATCCAAATGAGCTGCATTGAAGACATTTTGTAAACTTCGAACGGATACATCGAAGAGGAAGTACAACCTCGTTAACAAACAGTATAAGCGGATCAACATACAGTTTTATCAGCACCATCTACAAACTAAACTCAAAGCAAATCCCAAGAGCTTCTGAAATCATGTGAACGATCAACGGAAGGAATCGGGCTTACCTTCTACAATGTACAATACGGATCAAGAAGAATCAGATACGGAGGGAATCGCTGACCTGTTCATGTCACAATTCAGCAGTGTCTTCGTCAAAGAAAATTTACCTAACGAGCACATCGTAGCCGCCGTAAGTGATGTTTCCGTACTTTCTACTGTTGGGCCGCATCCGCCTATCTCAACTAATGGTGTTCGTAGAGCAGACCTTCGTTTGAAAAATTCTTTTAGCACTGTCCTTGACGGATTCCCTTTCGCGGTTATTAAGAACTGTATTGGAGTGCTGGCCGCACCTTTAGCATCCATCTTCAACCTCTCTTTGGATTCTGGGATCTTTCCCGACTGCTTGAAGGATTCTTTTGTTTTCCCTGTCTTCAAATAAGGCAATAAGCAGTCGGTGTTCAACTACCGTGGTATCGCTGCTTTATGTGCAGTCTCAAAACATTTTGAGCTATTGGTGCTAGATTATTAAAAACAAACATGCTCTCATACTCAATGGTTTTTAAAAAGTCGAATACAAAAGCCTTTATTCAATCTGTAGAATAGCAAAATATCCAAAAAATAGAATGCTATTGAAACTGCTTAGAAACTCCAAAATAATCCAAAACGTCTAAATTGCGGTACTAATAAGTGCCGTGGGTAACATTTGCATCACAAGGACAGTAGTACCCCCAATCATGCGGAGGATAACTGATCACTTTTGCCACACCCGGATACATTCCAGATGCCCCTAGGGAAGTGGCCAAAGAAGAATTTAAACCTACAATCCTCTTCTTCTTTGGCTTATTACGTCGCAACGGGGATTTAAGTCGGCTCTCAACTTAATGATCTTTGAGCTCTTCCACAGAACTGCGTGAACTTTGCTGTCAACTTTGTTAAGTTGAGAGTTTTCTAACTCTAGTAACATTAAAAGTTTTATCAAGGGCTTAAAGCATTTTACAAGTCTAAAAGCTGGTCTACAGAATCACCATAAAACCAAAATTATTACTTGGGAAGTCTGTACCATTTTTGCATTAGTATACTGTGTGTGTCAAGTACAATCATACTCTATGCCCAGGAAAGTGTAGACATTTTTCAACCCGAAAAATTTCTAGACCGGACCGGAAATCGGACTCAGCATGATCTTTCTTTATAGCTTTATAGCGCCTTTACTGACTGAGCTAAGGGAGACCCTCGATATTGCCATGCGTTACATCAATTTAGATGAGAATTCAAAAACAAACTTATTAGTCGAAATATTGAGTGACCGGGACCAAACATGTACATACATGTTGGAGCATAAAATAGTAAGAAAGATTTTTTTGGATAATATTTAGGGCTTTTGATCTAATTTCCGTCCTACTAAGCACAACCCAGGCTTTATCTCTCTTTTCTGAACGAGTTAATTGGATTTGATAAGGAGTCACGAATTGTTGAGATATTGTTTAAAATCTAATACCGCTTCTTAATTCTAAATTCGTCCTACGAGTTTCAATTCCGTCCAAACGCATTGAAACGCCATCAGATTTTCTTCGTCCTACGGATAAACGTAGAAAAAGGGGATTCGGTAGGAGCGCTTCTTTTGTTTTGAGAACAATGAGCGTAAATATTCATACAATGCGCTCTAACAGGATTTATGTTGTAGTTGATGAACTAACGCATTGGAACAAACCTATTATTGATTTGTGCACGGTGAAATCATTGATATTATTGACCTTTTCTGATCGATAGAACGGAAATGGGCGATTACGACGAAGTAGCGTTCTACCTTATAACAATAAGAATGCTCAAAATAGTTAGAAATTTAATATCCCTTATATTCAATTTATCTAAATTCAAATCACCACACCACCGGAAACGATCATTTATTAACATGTTGTGCATATTTTTTTCACCAACACAGGTGGACTACCGGCGGCAACATTCTTCACCAGGCAACGGTACTCGTCCGGCATCGTCGGTTGCATCTCCGAGCTGATACTGGCCGGTGAGCTGAGGCTGAATTTCGATTCGACGATACTGGGCACGGCACACAACGTCGAACCGGGCGCCCCATGAAGGTAGATATAGACGTCGGCGATTGTCACAGCCGGGCAGCAGCACATCGTGGCACCGCCGCCGCCGGTTGGTAACGCTACAACTAGAACAACTGCTACTATTACTACTAGGAGTAACAACAATTGAAAACGTCCATCAGAGAGAGAGAGAGAGAGAGAGAGAAGGGATCAGGTCCCCGGGGGTGTTGTGCTGTGCGGGTTGAAAGGGTTCGTGATACGAAAGAGGAGATCTGCTGAAAACTGAATGAAAGCGAAGGGAACGGAGTTCGGGTGACAACGGTTGTTGAATCGGGTGTAGGGCTTTGAATGAGAGAGAAAGAGAAAATAAGAGAGCAGACAGGTAAACTACGCAGATACATACACACCGATTTAGACTAAATGAATTTTTTATATAAGAATGAAAGTCTAGGGTAACAATTTAAGTGTAAGATTTAGGTACTGATATAATGTAATATTAATGTTAAAGAGCGATCGTTTTAGGGTTAAGCATCAACTCTCGGTGGTGTCGATGAACTATGGGAACCTGATGGTTGATAGGAATGTGTGTATGCAAAAACAATCTAAAATGATTCACAAAGTAAAGGAAGGTAACAAAGAGTAACTTTAAATTTTGCATTAAATTAGTTCGTAGCATTTTAGTGAAATTCTAATCTTCAATTCATATTTTTCAAATCTTGTTGGTTTTCAATCCACCGCATGTTTGCATTTTTCGTTTTCGTAGCAGCAGCATTCATGAATCAGATACCGCAGAGATCGTTTGATGAAGATTTTGAGTGATCTCCGCTGTTACGCACCATATTATACTGGTATTATAGTAACACAGATTTTACATTAGAATTGAAAAATCGGATTAAGGTGCGCTGACCATAATCAAGTTTGACTTTCAAATTATTTGACTACCTCGATCTGAAAACTATCGGGCGCTGCATTCCATATCAGAGAGGGAGAGTTCTGTTTTCGGTCCAGCTGAGGAACACATCCTGGGCATAGCGACATTTGACATTATTTGCCAGACAATATACCATTCAATGCAACGGTCTCCTACGAAAGCACTCAAAAAGACAGAACAAATGGTAGCGTGGATGATAGTTGATAACAGGCAGCTCAACAACGACGCAGATCGTTTAGGGCCCAGAAAAGTATTCGGTTTTTAACAACAGTGTTCATTTGGAGCCTCCCTTCGCTCAGTTGGTAAAGGCGCAGCAATAAAACATGGTCATACTGAAGGCGGCTGGGTTCCATTCCCGGCCCGGTCCAGGAATTTTTCGGCTTGGAAAATTTCTTGAATTCCCTAGGAAAATGAGTATGATTGCACCTATGTAACACATGCAACGTTCATGAAAAATAAATGAAATCCCAGATGTAAATAAGTTATAGGGAGAAATGGCTCTACTGTTGGCCTATGGATCTAAGATTGGGCCCATCGCTAAAAATCTGCTATTTATCAATTTTATCTAGATGAACGCGTCATTGGGACGACGGTACTAATGGATGTTTTTGGTCGCTATTGACAATTTAGTCGATTGCTGAATTTATGTACGGACCCAGATTAGGGGCATTTACACCGAAATTACATCAATTTTCCCTATATTAATTGCTTTGAAAACATCATTAGGTTGATCGTTGTAGAACTTTCCCTTAGGAAGCCGTGTTGATGTTAAGAAATTATTGGCCGAACCGCATGGTACACAGCATCATATACCAACTTATCCAGAGCTTTCGGGAGGCAGCTAATGATTGAGATTCCACGATAATTTTCAACATTGTGGAAGTCTCCGGTCTTGTGATAGGCGTGATGGACGCGACTTTCCACACTTTGGGAAAAACACCACTTATCAGCGAACAATTGAAGATAATCATCACAGGTAAACCGAGTGATGCGACAAACTGTTTAACAAACGATGGCGGCAAACTGTCGGGACCAGTCTTAAAATTCCACAGAGCGAGAAGTTCAATTCTGCTGGCATCACTAACGAAAGCCAGATCAAGTAATGTACATTACGTACATCCTGTATTTGCGTGCTAATGCAAGGACGGACTGTGTCAAAGTGATGTCTTGTTCCGAGGAAGCGTTGATGATCAAATTTCCACCCGAGCCTAGGCAGATTATAGTCTCCAAGGCGATGACAGTGTCCGTAGTTTCACCGATATCGCACAAGAACACAAGATGCATAATTAGAGTAAACATCAGGATCGGAGTTAGGTATTCTGTACACACAACAAATGTAGACCGACTGCATTGGCAGTGATTCAGGCACCACTGCTTGCTTTAAACTGTCGGAATTCACCAGTGGAACCAACTTACACCGTAAATGCTTTTGAACACCGATTAGCTCGCCACAACTACGCAGCAGTTGAGATGTAGATGAATTCCGATCGAGACGATAAATTAAATAGTCAGACAAGAGCTCATAGTTCAGTGTGTCACTGCCAAGCTACATTTCGGTCAGCGCGATGACATCATAGTCACTAAAAGAGAGTGCCAAACGAAGATCACTTGTTTTTGTCTGAACCTACCTGTCTGTCTTCAGGGTCCCAGATGGTGACTTTGTCGGGTGGCTTGAGGACTCCCTCAGTTCTGTAGGCAATGGATGTCGACTGTCGAGAAGCAGATGAAGGGCCAGCAGCACTGAAAATTAAATTATGTTCAGGCTAGGGACGAATTCGTCGATGCATTGTACTTACCTTCGTTGTGAATTCGGGAGACCTTCTCTCCAATCCCACACACAGGGCCGGGACGTTTGCTGGTCGATAACAGGATGTGCTCGACTGTAGTGGGAGGATTAAGTTTCAATTTACTTTGATGCATTTTTTTAATATTCAAAAGCAGTTTTTTTCGACGCATTATTATAGATTGCAAAAAGCTCGCGTCATTTTGTGTAAAATATCATAAGGAATCGAATAGTGCGAGCTTTTTTGCAATCTGAAATCATGCGTCGGAAAAAACTGCTTTTGAAATTTTCCAAAAAGCATCAAAGTAAATTGAACCTTAAGGGCTTCTAAACTTCTAGCGGCAAGTGTGCGTCCTGTATTCTGTTTGGAAGAACTGAAGCGTGGTGAGAGTCCCCTCTCCAAACGCAAATACAGAGCCGGGACGGCTGCTGGTCGCTGGCAGGAGTGACCCGACTGTGATTAACGGCTAAGGTACTTTCATAATACCGGCTTCTAAGGTGCGTCCCGGTGTTTGGTTGAGCGAAACAGATGGTACAATTGAAGATAATCGGTTGGAAGCAAGAAACAGCATACTTGCTGTTCGGAAGATCCCTTTTCCATGCCCAAACACAGGACCGGGACGACTGCTGATCACTGGAAGGGTGGGCTCGACTGTTATGGGAGTATCAGGGGCTTCCATAATGCTAGCGTCAAATGTGCGTCCCGCGGTGGTAGTTATTCCATCGCTTTGATTTCTGATTCCGGTGACTTCGACCGATCTGTTCCAGGAGGCTCCGGTCGCCAAATACATTTGAACGATTTTTCATCGGAGAACTCTTGGTAGACAACTCCTTTCGGCCAGGTCGATGATAGAAATGCTTTAGTTTTCAAATCCGCATTCATGCCGATTTTGAACTAAACAAAGGAAAGAGTGTTAACAACAATCAATACGAAACTAACGATTTCAAATTGGCTCACTACTTGACTAGCTTATTGGTTCCAAACAAACAATTAACGTACCCCATTCTAGTCGAAATTCTAGTACTACACAATGTTTGTTTTGATTCGCTATGAAAGTTCGACAGATAAAATGAGGGGTTAGTGGATTTTCCTATGTTTCGAGGGGTGAATCGATTAGCTTGGGACCGAAGATAGTACCAGAGCTGAGCCAAAAAGTTGAGCACGTTATTTCGGGACCTTGTAGTCTTGGAGTTACCTCTATGGTGTTAAGCCTTTTCCCTTAGCTACTAGCCGAGCCACTTGAATGCCGTCTGTTCCAAAGCGCTTCTTTGCCAGAGTGCTTACTTGTTCGGCTGAAACGGCTGATAATTTCTATGTCCTTGGATGGAGAGAGAGTGCTGCCAGTGCCTTGAAGAAGCGGTGGCTGTTTGTTCCGGTTTGCATCATCAGCCAGGCTGAAAATCCGACGGGGTTCCCTAATTAACAAACACAATTAATTTACGATAGCGGCGCCGGTGGTGTAGTGGTAAGCGTGATTACCTCTCACCCCAGCATACCTGGGTTCAATCCCAGTCGACGCCGCCGGGATGTTCTGAGGCATAACATCTCTGATCACGTAATGCCGTTGGTCCCCGGTTCATGAGTTGATGGGTCGATAGGTAGGTTCCAGATGTGGGAGCTGCCTCCCTGGCGTCGGTAGCATTTGTGCTCAGCACGGAAAACAAGATCGACGGAAATCAAATCAAAGGAAAAAAAAATTACGATAACCCAAATGGTAGAAATATTCCAAAAATGGTTCGGATGATACCCCGAACACGTCGTTAAGCAAAATAACTTTACAAATTTGATAAGGGTTTTATTGAATGTTTTCCAGTGCCATTTCCTCTTGTCAACCTCGGCGTGAACGAAGCCGAATTCTGATCTCGGTTTTCAGTTCGGTCAAGATATCGGATTTGAGGTTCTGCATGATGTTACTATGGGTGTTCAGAGCTTCCTCCTGACCCACTTCATGAGCAGAACAGCGGCGTTTAGGAAACGGATGTTTTTCATCACTGACGTGCAGGGAATCAAAATGAACGATTTAGATAAAGATAATGGCATTCTCATTTTGGTTACACTCATGATTAGTATAAATCCATAATTCACAATGGACAGTTCTGGAAACGTTAATGCGATTATCATTTGTGTAACAGATCATGATCATATGAAATAGCGATAATCTCAGATCATCATCATCAGCTCTCGTTACTGAAAATTCCCCATTTAAGACAAGGCTTATCAAATACCCTATAATATGTGAATTTTCGGAATGAGGATAACGTATAGAGATCGAAAATCGATGTTTGCCGCCATTATGAAATCCAAGATGGTGGCCATCGATTTAAGAAAAACTGTCGAAAATTGATGTCCGCCACCATTTGGAAATGCAAGATTACCCTGCAATGTGGGTATTTTCGGAACAGGGATAGCATGCAGATGTAGAACATTAATATCTGCCGCTATTTGGGAATCCAAGATGGCGGCTATTGATTTTAGAAACAACTTTTCCCTACAATGTGGGCATTTTTGAAACCGGGATGACGTGTAGATGTCTAAAATTGATGTCGGCCGCCATGTTGACTAGTGTATTCGTCAGTTCTATTTAAAACCAAAGGCCGCCAAATTGGATTCCAAAATGGCGGTTGACATCGATTTTCAACATCTACACATTATTCCAGTTCCAGAAATACCCATATTGTAGGGTATTTGACGATTTTTTTCCGAAACCAACGGCCTAGATGACGGATTTCAAAATGGCGACCTACATTGATTTTCAAAATATATTTGTCATCCCGATTCCAAAAATATTCGTATTGTAGGATATTTGACCGCAATACTTTTCCGAAGACAGCAAGTTCCTTGATTTTGAGATACATTACAAAGTGATTGTTATCATATCAGTAGATTATCGTTTTTGTTGCTGATCATGATATGTAACACAAATGATAATCCATGATCTTACTGTACACTGATCATGATTCCGTTAACTAGTATTTTTATCGTCGGTAAGCATCGGAAGATAGCATTTTCTTGATTCCCTGCTGACGTGCAGGACTTGCAAAGCCAAAACATCTGATGATTCATCATCACCTCCTCATCACCACTACATCTGGGGTGAAAAGTGGCGTTGAAAAACCATAAAGGCAACCTGCCTTCGAACGACTACTTCATTGTGGTGTGCAAAAGTATGGTTGCAACAATGTAGTGTATAGTTAGAGCACATACAAGCAAATTTAATGAAAACAACACTGACGACCTGTGTTCACTCGGCTGTCGACAGAAGAAGACCACTCTCAATGTGTGTCACGCGATCGTCTGTTTACTCGGCAGCAACCATTGTGTGGTCCTCCTCATTGTTCTTCATCAGCAGTTCTTTCGGTCGATGCATCGTCGACTTTGGAAAGCAACCGTTTCGTGATGAATGTGTGAGTACTGACCACGTTTTGCGTCCATTGCTGCAATTAAAGCGCTCTGACCCTCGTTGGCGAATCTGCCATAGAATGCAACCATTAGAAGCGGCT